GACGGCCGGGACCGTGGCACGCTCCCTCCCCTCCCCTTCCGCGGGGCCCCAGCCCCTCGAGCGGCTGGGGCCCCGGGATGGGAGGCCCGGAGGGCTCCAAAGAGGGCTTCGGGGGAGGGGCCTCTCCAGGAGGGGCCCCCGCAGGGGCTCCGCGCCCCCTGCCTTGACTTCAGGCTCCGGGGCCCCCGCAGAGGGGGGGGGGGCTCTCTGGCAGACCCCCTCCCCCCCCAAAGCCCCCCTCTGGAACCCCTCCGGAAGGGGCGGCGGGGAGGGGAGAGGCGGCCGGCGCCCCTCCCCCCGGAGCGCCATTGCCGCCCCCCGGCATTGAGCAGGGTCCCGCCGTCCCGGCATTCCCAGTCATACGACGAAAGGTTCTTCGAGCCCAAAAATGTTTTAAGAACAAACACGATGTTCTTAGAACATCAACCCGATGCGAAAAGAAACATGGCAGCCTCCGCCAGAAATGCTCCAAGAACAGGTTCTTAGAACGTTGCCTCGTAGGGCAAATAGGCGAGCCAGGACGCTTCGCCGCTGCTTGACTGCAGCCGCAGCCCCCGCGGGCACCCGGGCGCGCGCGCGCCGCCGCAGGCTATAGCGGCGCCCGCGGGGCGGGCCTCTGGAGGGCCGCGCCCCCGCCGGGCGCCTCCGCCCCGCCGCCGCCGCGCGCTCGAGGCTGCTCGCTGCAGCCCCAGGGCGCGGGCGCCTCCAGGGCAGGGCGCGGAGGGCGGCCTCTCCCTGCCATAGCGCCCGTGCGGGCGCCCGCGCGCCGCCAGAAGGGCGGCGATCCTGCTGCACGCGCAGGCGCGGCGGCCGCCGGGGCCGGCGCGGGGAGGGCCTCGGCGCCCCCCCCGCGGCCAGGGCCTCGGCGCCCGCGCTGTGCGGGGGGGGTCAGCGCCCCAGCGCAGAGAGGGAGAGGCTCGTGGCGACGAGGTGTTTTTCTGCCCCCGTCGGCCAGGGACAGGGAGGGGAGGAGAGGGGAGGGGAGGGGAGGGAGGAGAGGGGAGGAGAGGCTTGGGGCGACGAGGTGTTTTTCTGCCCCCGTCGGCCAGGGACAGGGAGGGAGGGAGGAGAGGGGAGGGGAGGGAGGGAGGAGAGGGAGGGAGGCCAACCTGGGAGCCCGACTGGTGGCGCTGCGCAAGCCTTGTGGGGGTCTGCGGCCCATCGCTTGCGGCGGGGTCATCCGTCGGCTGGCGGGCAAGGCTGCCTGCGAGGTGAGGACGAGATCCGGAATGCGTGCGGTGCTCACCAATACGCCGTCGGCAGGCGGGCGGGCTGCGAACTGGTCCACAAGACCATAGCTGCGCTCACCGAAGCCAGCCCGACCAGTGTCGTGCTCAGCTTGGATGCCAGCAGCGCCTTCAACTCGATGCCGCGAAGACGGGTCATGGACGGGGTTGCTGCCAGAGCGCCTGAGCTGTACCACACCGCGCAGGCGTGGCTCGGAACGACTGCTACCACACACTTGCTCTGGCACAACGCTGACACAGCCCTCCCTATACGAGCCACTCGCGGGGTGGACCAGGGATGCCCTCTGTCACCGGGGCTGTTCGCTATTGCTCTGGCGGACGCACTTGGCGATATCGCGGTAGCGCTCCAGCGGCTGTCCCCCGAGTGCCGCATTTTCTCCTACCTTGACGACATCATGGTGCTTGGGCCGCCAGAGCACGCAGACGCCGCCATCCAGATAGTCCTCGCGGCGCTCACGAACGCCGGGCTCCAGGTGAACCAGAGCAAGACCAAAGCCTGGACGAAGGACCCGGCGCAAGCCTTGCCCGCGACGGCGCAGCAGGCCCGGGTCGACACCCCCACGTGTCTGGGGAATGTGGCGAATTGGCTGGATCAAGAAGACGAGAGGGTCCGGGTTCACGCTGGCGCCGACGGAGCGGCCGCCGTGGCCAGGGCCACCGCTTTTCGTGCCCGCCTGCAAAGATTTCGGGGTGCTGGACTTTCCGCAGAGGGAACTTGGGTCCTCCTCCGCACCTTCGCCCAGGGCGCAGTGACTCACCACCGTCGCGCCGCGTACAACTACAACTTAGCGTGGACCGACACTTTCGATGGCGCTGTGTTCGGATGCCTCGAAGACCTCCTGCAGGCCCCTCTGGACGACACGCAAAGACTGCAGGCCACCCTGCGGCTGGTCGACGGGGGGTGTGCCCTCCCTTCAGCCAAAGAAACAGCGCCGGCCGCGTACGCTGCGAGCTGGGCGCTCGTCATGCAGGACGTGGCCCGCGGCGCTGGGTTCGCTACTTGGGAGGACTTTGGGGCCCGCTGCCCCTTGAAGATCCAATCCTTGCGGGGGGCGGAGGCGGCGCTGCGAACGCAGGGAGCTATGGGGGACGACCCGTTCGAGTGGCTCGACACTTTCCAGGAACCGGAACTGAAGCTGCAGGGGCAGTGGGGCAAAGCGAGGTCCTCGGCTGGGAGGGAACGCTTGCGGGGAACGATGGGAGAGGACGACCGACTCCAATTCCGCGGAACAGGAGGACCAGGCGCCGGGGGATTCCTGCTCCCCCGTGAGGAGGGTGACCAGTCCATGCCAGATAAGCATTTCCTTGCGGCGTACAAGAAGCGCTTGCGGGTGCCGGTGTGCCCGCCCGGTGCTCGCTGCCAGCACAAGTACGCCAACACAGGACTGCCGTGCAACGAGCCCTTGGACGCGCGCGGGTGGCACGCCTGCAGCTGCCCTGTGGGGGGGTCCCGCGCAGGCCGCCACGACAGCATGAGGGACTGGCACGCCCCCACGCACACGCGCCTCACGGGCTACTACGCGGTCAAGGAGCAACGGGTCCCTGGTTGGGACCGGATGGACCCGCAGACGGGCGTCATGGAGGAGGCGAAGTTGGACGTTTGTACACGAGACCCCAGCACAGGCCAGCCTGTGTATATTGATTGGAGCGTTACCTGCGAATACAGCACCTACGGCCCTCGCAGGCGCGCTCGATCCAATAGAGACGGGGTCGCGGCGGCGCAGACGGTCCACGAGAAGCGCGAGCGCTACCCTCCGCAGCACGGGAACTTGGCGCCCTTAGTGTTCGAGTCGGGCGGCCGCCCATCCGACACGGCCGTCGAGTTCATCCGGTCGTACGGCCACGGGCTCGACGACGCTGACCGGGCAGTGGTCCTCGGAACGCTGTGGAGGCAAATCAGCAGACGCCTGCAGACCGGCAACGCCGAGATGCTGCTGAGTGCACTCGGACGCTAGGCCACTAGCTACGTGGGCACCAATCCTGCTGCCCACGGTGCTGTTCGGACAGGCGCCTGGACAAGGACCACCGCTACCGCGGCCAACACAAGCGGCCGCACCCACCACTGCGGCGGCCTTGGCAACGCCAGCCGCCACCAACGGCCGTAGCCACCACCGCGGCTCTTGCGGCCACCGCCACGACCACAGTGGCCGCCCCCAGCACGGCGAACAAACGACGCAGCCACCGCAGCCCGGCCGCCTCCAGCACTACTACCACCAGCCCGGCTATCGCCAGGGCTGCCGCGATACAACCACCCAGCCCGACCCCCACGCCCTTCACCGCCCCCCGTTCCCCGTCCCCCTCCCCCCGCCCTTCCCCTTCCTCCTCCTCCCCCTCCTCCACTAGTGTCGTGTCGGCTTTGTAGTCCCCGCACTAGGTGTAATTCATGCTGGTTAATCCAAAGCCCCCCCACTGTGTCCCCACGGGTCCCCTTGGCGAAGGGGGAGGGGGGCCAACTCTGGCGCCCGTGGGTCTTTCCGCGGGGAAGGGAGGGGAGGAGAGGAGAGGGGAGGGGAGGAGAGGGGAGGGGAGGGAGGAGAGGGGAGGGAAGGGAGGAGAAGAGAGGGAGGGAGGAGGAGAGGGAGGGGAGGGAGGGAGGGAGGAGGCGAGGGGAGGAGAGGGGAGGGGAGGGAGGGGAAGGGAGGGAGGCGAGATGAGGGCGGAGGCGGGGAGCGGGGGGAGAAAGTGTGCGCGGGCGCGAGGCGGGGGGGCCGGGGGGGGGGGGGGGCAGGGGGGGGGGGGGGGCGAGGAGAGGAGGCCGAGGCCCAGACCCCCTCGAGTTATGAAAAAATCACGACGGGAGGTTTTTCATTATGTTTGGCCTTTGGGGGCCCTCACCGGCCCTCGGGACCGTCAAAAACGACTCAGGACGAAAAACCAGTCCCGGGGAATGGGTCGAGACCTCGGGAGGTCGAGGTCATGAAAAAATCATGACGGCGGGGGTCTGGGGTGCGCGTGCACGTGTTTCGGCGGCGCGCCGAGGGGGGAGACGCTCAAACGCCTCCAGCCTTCCGAGAAGCTTGCGAAGCCTCCTCCGAAGCCACGGAAGGGCTCCTTCAAGGCCATTGGGCTTCTGGAAAGCCCCGCCGCCTTCTGAGAAAGCCTGCCTCCACTCACTTCCCCCTCGGCGCGCCGCCGAATGATTGCGACGCCGTTCTCTCCTGGCGCTCTCTGCCGCTGGGAATCGACCTGTCCCTTGGCCTTGGGCCCCTTGGAACGTGTTTCTTGATTTTCGTCGATACTGGGCATTTTGGGGGGTGGAGGGGCCAAGGGCGGGTGCAATGTAACGCCTCCCCCCCGCCGTGCGCACGGCGGCAGTGCCTGTACCGCGCTACGGGGGGGGGGGGGGGGGGGGGGCGCTACGTTATAGGGAGGGGGAGAAGGGCCGGGGGCTATAATGCCCATTATGCCCCAAGCAGTGAAGAAACAGGCTCTTGCCTCTCTCCTAGCGCGTCGGCAGATCGCCCTCAACCCGGTTCGCCTTCATGATTGCTCCGCCTTTGACCTCTCGGAGGCGACCAAGAGGGGGCGTCCACGAGGAGGGGCGCACATCATGGCCAGCGTCATGTGCGCGGCCCAGAGGCGGGGGACGTAATGAAATGAGAAGAGGCACCATGAGATCAGGGGAGATATCATGGCCCCCGCCATGATATACACCCCCCCTAGTCATCACCCCTTCTTTGCCGCCCCGGAACCTCTGGTCCTTGCCTTGACCCGTTCCTGGACCGGGGCTTGGTGGAGACCACCCGATGGCCCAGCCAAGCAGGCACGTCCATTTGTCTTGGGCCTAGGATTGACGGATTTGCGTGGCGAGGATCGGCACGACTGGATCAGAGTCACCCAACGATCGGGCCAGAACAATGCGAAGGCTCCTCGTGCGGCTGGACGCCTTGTGTTCGGCACTGCTGGGCACCACCTGGCCCGAACTGGGCCCCACATCCTCTCCGCCAGCTGCATGTGTTCTCAACCCTGGAGGGTAGCGCGACGGCCGTGGAGACGAAAGACGACGACGACGACGAGGACGACGACGTCTCAGAGGTAACGAGGGCGACGACGACGACGACGACGAGAACGACGTCGTCCTCGAGGGACAGAAACAAAGAGGGTGGCGCGACGGCCGTGGAGACAGCGACGCTGACGAGCTGTCCCCCATCATTGCAGACGGCACGCCGCACCTGCACATCTGCAAGGGTGCAGAGACGGAAAAACTACGCACACTATTATGAACTCGAGTGCTCACACGATACAAGATGAGGACACGCGAAAATTGCAGAAATAACCTAGATGGCCCTGCCTGCAGTGAGGCTGCTTCGCAGACTCCATCCACGTCAGAATTACCGTTGCCACCAGCATGCGGCGCTGGCTGGCGGAAGCGTTACGCATCGAAGATTTTGCTTGCACTCCCCATCTCGCGGAAAAAAAAAACAGATACACATATAATCCGCCAGAGCGCGCCACAATTCGAATTGCCGCTTGCTGCTGCAAACTCCCTGAACAGACTCGGTTTTGCCTACGCTGCTGGGCCGGACATCACCGCGGCCGGTGGCGCGCTGTGTACCCCCACCACCACTCCGCACTCGCTTTCTGTCGGGTGCCTGGCTGCAACGGCCCCCGCGATCAAGGTCCCAAGCCGCAGGGTGCTCCAAGAGAGCGCTCTGACGATTTGGCTGCGGGCGCGGGTTATGGCCTGGCGCACATGCACAAAACCACCATCCCAAGTGGCCGGGCGTGTAGCTTACCGCAATACTGGGACAGCTTGCCGAATCTCGAGCTCCTGGGTATGTGCACTGGAGGCTGACAGGGACCTGCAACCTATTCCAATCGCCAACCCACCCACCCTTCCATTGTGATGCAGACCCTGAGCAGGATGCTCCAACAATTTACGTTGCTGCGGGAGTGAAAAGCAAGCTTCTCTGAGCTGGCGCGCAGCAGAAAAACACAACTACAACCCCATCTGGGCGGGTGTGGACCCTATCGAAATAGTGGGGTGGCTAGCCGAATCTCGGTGTCCTCTCGGATGCCTGCTTTGATCCTTGATCATATCGTGAGGCCGTTTGTGGTCTCTCGGGGCGGTCGTGGAGCCTTGGGACGCCTTGAAGACTAGGCACTGGGCGGTGGCCGCTTAAGTGGCGCTCGCGCCAACTAGCCAAGTGTTTCGGTGGAGCATCGCAGAGGGCACGACTGCTGCCAGTTCACTTGACATAGGCATCGCTCAGGGCACATAAAAGCAATGGACTGGTGGTACAGAGTGCTGCACAAATTCACAGACAGGATGTCCAGGAAAACCGCATCGGTCCAAAAAGCACAACCGACGAGCTCTACGCCGTCTCTCGTGAACATCGCCAATCCTGGGGCAAGCTCGAAAATCCCGCGACCCAGCCTCTGAAGTGTGAGACCCGAGGACACGACATCTTGCACATACGCTACGGTTCCAGGGTATGCCTTGCCTGTTGCGTTTTCGTAGGCTGAGATCACAGCGGATATCAGATTGCTCGTGCTTGCACTGGTGAGCCTTTCATGGAACCCTGGGCGCTGCGTCACATAGTCAGACAAACCAGAGACGTACTCCATCATAGCTGCACGCCTCCACGGCTCATTGCCGTCGTCGGTACAACTAGCAGTGCGCAAACTATCCCTGAACGTTTGGTCTATTCTATTATCGGACGTGCAGTCCGCAGGACAGCCCCAATGCGGATGAGAGAAGAATAGCCACACTTTGGAACAACCAGAAGTCACTGGGCAGAGTGCCCTGTAGTGGCTCATGTTGTACCATTGCGAGATGCCTGCCAGTTCTCCTCCGCTGCAGCTATCCACAATCGCATCGGTCGCATACCTCACTAAAGCCTGGATCACATGAGGGGCTTGGTGTGATTCCTCAGAGTTGTAATCCTCGCAACGGCCCAAAAATGAAACATCTTGGATGCTCGATATTGAAAGCGCCTTGACGAACTCGAAACCAGTCGAAGAGGTCTCGGCCTCGTCCATAGTGTAGGCAACGGTGCGATCGCTGTTGTATATAATACCCGCGGGCGTGTGTTGTGGCCAGAACTCTGCAAGCAAGCGGTTCCCAGCATGACTGTCTTCCAAGAAGTCGTGGAGCCCTGTGAACTGCAGGATTGTATTCTGAACTATGTGTTGCCCCTCCCGTGTCTCAGAAGTGGAGTGAGTCTTTGCGGCATACACGACACCAGTGTCGGGGGTAACAGCGTAGACGAAATCTGTGTTACCTTCGCACAAAATGTTCACCGCCAACTCCATTCTCTGGACCATGGGATGAAGGCTGTTCGCAACCATCATACCTGTACATAGGAATGCAAGCGCAATCCAGAAAAGACGAAGAGGTAGCCGATGCATAACGTCCAACGCTCGCGTGGTAATGCCCGAACCGGGGGCGTTGCTTGTGAATTCTTTCAGCTCGAACGGCTTCATTTTGCTCTGTACCCGCTGCACCCGACCAGGAACAAATATCGGGTAGATCATCTCGTCGATATTCAGAATGAAGCCAAGTGCCAGACTGTCGATGAGGATCTGCTCCAGACTTACTGTAGAGGTCAAGAACGACATGCCCGTCATCAGCAGAAAGAAAGTGACCCCAGAACGTGGAACTACAACGAAGAGGCACATGGCATACAATCGAACTGATGATATGGATCGAAACGCAAATGTGTCTTCACTCTCCGCGACAAGCTGAGTCGAGCCACTACGAGGTACAGAGCGAAGCGCATGTACAAACCTGTAAATGCTGTCCACCTCCGTCAGGATCAAGCAAACCCACAAAAAGAAACGCCCACCCAACGGGCCAGAGGCGTGCTAAGATCTCCGGCAACTGGTGAACAGTTGTTCTACTTCGCGCGCGAGGGGCGGCTCCTGGGGTGCCAGGGCGAAAAGCACCCTGGGCGCAGCCCAGCCATCCCTGGCCCAGAGACGTTGGCTGTCTTCTGGGCGTCGCCCTTGGGGCTCCCAAGGGCGCTCCAGGAGCCGTCGTCGACGTCTGCGGGGGTCTGAGGCCGTCCAAGCGCGCCCCGAGACGTCCACGGTGGCCTCTTCACAGGCGAATGAGCCTCTACAACGCCTCAACGGCGCTTCACACGGACCTCCAAGGCAGGCCCAGAGGGCCAAAGGCCAATGATGCTCATATGATGTTCGAAGGCTTCTGGCGTCAACGCCTGTCCTCGCTTCCGACTGCCCGGAACGGCTCAAGAGGCCCACCGAACCGCCCCAAGATGCCCCAAGAGAGTCCCAGGAGGGCCCCAGGACAGCCCATGAGGGCCCCGAGTTGGTCCAAGAGATCCCCCAAGAGGGCTCAGAGGCCCCCAAGAGAGCCCCAAGAGGGGGAGGCCGAACATAGTCCTTCAAGAGGTCCCCAAGAAGCCCCAGGAGTCTCCAAAATGCTGCCGAGAGGCCCCCAAAAGAACTCCAAAGAGACCTCGTCCACGACCTACGTTGGTCCCGAGAAGCCTCCTCCTCCTCCTTCTCCATCCCGCTCGCTACGCGTCCGCCAACAGAGAAAGAATGCAATATGGGCCCACGGAGTGGGCGAAGCGATTGAATAACAAGAGAGCAGAGCAGCTGTCCGCCTTTGAGGCCGAAGGGTTCCCAGACCCTCAGATAGGTGCTAAAATTTGTCCAGAAGTCAATCTGATGAGTGGCTATATGCAGAGCGTCGTTCTTGGCCTCGCGACAGACCTCGGCGATCATGGACGTCCTACGATCGCCGACAACCGAGGACACATGGTGTCCAGAAGTCAAACGGAACTGCAACAGATCCTGAAGTCGCTCAGGTTCCACAGGGTCCTTGCACATGAACTCCCAGACAACCGATGTAAGCACCAGCTGAATGATCATGTTTTTCATCAGGAGGCACACGAGGGTCAACGAATCAGAAATTCGATGGAAACCATCGAGGCCAATGAAGATAGACGCGTCCCATATAGACTCGGCGAGGACGTATTCCGGCGGGACGGTGAATAACACCTGGGACTCACCTGGAGCCATCCCACCCGAATGCACTGGTGCCGGCGTGCCGTTATAGCAGGTCGGGGTGCTCGACGTTGGGTCGGGATGGTTGCCGCACGGTGCCGATGCGACAGGATATGCAAGCAGCCTCTCCGACTTGCCAGACCTGTCTTCCAGAGCCTGCAGAGGGCTGGTGATGTCCACCCTACCGAGCTCGTTCTCCAGCGCCTCCACGCGGCTGGCCATTAGGTCCATGCGGGCACCGAAGTCCTCGCTCAGCTCTGCCCGCACCCGTGCCTCCACGCCGCGCACGAGGTCGGCGACATCCTGCACACGGGCCTCAATGTCTTGCAGGCGGGCCGCAAGTACGCCGTCCCGCGCCGGTGCCGATACACCGGGGTGCGGCATTGCTGCAAGGGCTTCTCGATAACTTGCCGCAGAGGCCTCAAGCTCGAGCCGACGTGCTTGCGGAGCCGTATCGCGCAAGTCCTTGTGTGAAATCGGCCTGACGACGAAGGCGCGTAAGACGAGAACTTGACAATCCCCCTCCTCTCTTCCATCGGGTCCGGAATTCCATTTGGGCCAAGGAAAGGCCAAGGCAACTGAGGCGCACATACCTAGCCCATCTTGGCCCCATGTTTCCATTCATGGCCCTTCCCAACATGGCTAAATGCAAAACGTGAAGCAATCCTGGCTGGAGCCAACTTGCGGATCATTCGCGGGAACGTCCGTGAGCGGCCCTGCCGGCCCCCCCCTTCCCCCCCGACCCCTGGTCGTGTCACGATGTGCGCTGGCGCCGTTTGGAAATGAGCCACTCCTGGGGGGTTACGGTCGGCTCCCTCCTCCTGTCGGTGCGCACAAAGGGGTGGAGGGAGGGGGGAGGGCTTCTTAGGAGGAGGCTGCTTTTCAGAAGGCTCCAGCCCTACATCTATAGAGAAGGCCCGCGCCTTCTGAGAAGCAGGGGTGCTTCTGAGAAGCTCTCTCCCTCCCTCCACCGCCCTCTTCTGCGCGTGGCTGATCCTCTCCTCCGGCCCCCCCTGGCCACGCCCGTTATCGCCAGGGGGTAAAACAACTGTTCCCTGGCGGAGCTCGCGCGGCGGGGAGGTAGGCGGAGCGAGCGGGACGGGGCGGAAGCACGGGGCAGAGGCGGGAGGCGAGGGCGGCCGAAGTCGTATTCTCTGGACGACGTGGGCGTCCAGAGGACAGAAGCCGAGGCAGTGGCACCGCAACTTGCCGTCGCTCGGACGTCCATTTCCCGTGTATTATTCGATTTCGTGCGTGTTTTTTTTTGCTCGATGGTCCAGGATGGTCCTCGATGGTTCTCGCCGAGAAACAATGCACACGTCCGAGCGATGCCAAGGCAAGTGCAAGTCAGAGTGAGGGAGACGAGTTGTCATTCACTGTCCCTGGGTGCGTGGCTGAGTGGGGTTCCGCGGTGCAGATTGCTGAAGTCTGACTTCTACGATTCCTGTTCCTCCTCCTGCTCGGTGACCAATCTGGACTCCCACCTGGCTTTTCACAAGGGAGATTTTGGAGGTCACCAAGATGTGGTGTTGGCCCCCCAGTTTACAACAACGGCTCCCGCTGTGTATATATATACATATATATATATATATATATCTTCTCCACTAATTGAAAAAAAAACACGCTCTCGCGCGACAGGTCCTGACAATTCACGCATGAATCGAGCTCTCACGTGGGACGTCCTAGAATGTGTTCGAACGCCGCGCCCTCGACGCTCAGGAATCGCACTGTCGCTCTGGATGTTCTCGTGCTTCACATGGGGATCGCGCTATCGCTCGAGACCCCCTCGCGATGCTTGCAGTTTTCACGAATCAACATGCCGCCTGCTCGACATGGCCGCTTGGGCCCGCCTTCCTGACCCGCCCGTTGGGGTCCACCCGCCCGATCAGCCCGTCTGGTTCTGCCACGTGTTCTGCTCCTAGCCACCCTCCTGCGAATCCCGTGCTCCATCATTCTCCCTCCCCCTTCCATCCGTCCTCTCCTCTCCTGTTTTAGGGGCTGCACCGATTACTCGCGGCAGGAAAGGAGGACATACCCCCAGGAGGGCACGATCGCAGACGAAGAGGGCGGGTTGAATGGCACGCGAGCAGCGAGCAGGAAAGAGCGAACAAACTTAAAATGAGTGCTGCTATTGTTGTTGTTGATGTTGCTGTTGTTGCGTTGTTTGCTGTTCGTTGCTTTGTGTTTGTTGTTGGTTGCTTGTTGTCTGTTGTCGTCCACCGGCAACCCAACCCGCGACTCACCCGCGACCCACCCGCGACCCACCCGCGACCCAGCCCGCGACCCACCCGCGACCCACCCGCGACCCGCCCGCGACCCACCTGCGACACACCCGCGACCCCCTCGCGACCCACTCGCGACCCACCCCGCGACCCCCTCGCGACCTACTCGCGACCCAGCCCGCGACCCACCCGCGACCCAACCCGCGACCCACCCGCGACCCGCCCACGACACACCCGCGACCCGCCTGCGACCCACCCACATTGCTTTGACGAGAGAATCGGCGCCTGCTGCGGGCTCGTTGTAGAACTTGTAGAAAATCGGAGCCTGCGGCGGGCTTCTTCGGAGCCTCGCAGACTGCCGACGACTCCGCCGCACCCTCATTCTTATCTGCAACTGCGGCAAGTTACATATTTTTAGACGACGTGGGCATCCGAAGGGATCACGCCAAGGCGGTGGCACCGCAAGCACAATGGCGGGCGGCCGAAGCCGCAGTGGGCTGCGTGTGTTTCCCATTCGCGATCTGATCAGTTCTGCATCTCGCTTCCCTCCTGTCCTCCTCGTCCCCTCCTTCGCACAACTTTCGTCCTCTCGTATGTAATGCTCGAAGCGTTATTTCCTGTTACTGCCTATGCGCCGTTTGGGCGACCGACTGCTTTGCTTGCTTGCTTACTTGCCTGGGTATCTGGAGATCTGGACCCCTTTCCCAGAACCAGATTTTCATCCCGACCAGTTTCCTCACGGGCTCAAGGCCCAGGGATGGCCCCCAGAAGCCGAAGCCGAGGATGGATCAAACTCTCGCGCCGCGATTCTGCGTGGCGGGATCGGCTACACGCACGAGTGACCCTGGGTAAGAGTGACCTTTGGTGCGCGGCTTTTTGGGGGCCGCGTGGGGACCAAACCTAGGCGCGCAAGCCGTTGCTCCTGCTTCGTTTCCCGCCATCTGGGGGCCCATCTGTGCCCGTACCAAAGGTCACTCCGGCGAAAGGTCACTCTTACGTCTAGTCGACGGGAGGAGGTCTGGCTTTCCGAGCAGAGCTCCGGTCTCCAGCGACT